TACGATAAAACCGAATTGATACGGCGGCGACACGCGCCGCCGACGGCTTCGTCGTCGTCGTCGTCGTCTATCAGCGGCGAACATCGAAATACGATTCCGCCATTGGCGGTCGCACAGTTGCCAAAATTTGCGCAACTTATATCGGAATCGGAACCTACGCGTGACGGTGGACGTAGTGCCGACGTTTTGCAGTCGCATGCGGTTGTTGTAAACGACGACGGCGACGATCTCTATTATGATTTCGAGATCAGACCGTTGCCGAAACCGCGTTTACGGAACGTATTGCCGTCGTCGTGGTGGTTTGCAGAGAGGGACAAGGAACTGTTTAACGGAGACATACGATATTTTATCCCATTATGATTTTTTTATTTAAAAAACACACATATATACAATATACATAATTACAATGCGTTATAAATATTAATAATACCGATATTATTTATTACATATAATAAATGTACATATTATATACACACAGCACACAGTCCGCCACAGTCTTTGGTTCTGTTGAATCGCGTGACACACACACACACGCATGTAATTAGATTTCTTCTTTGATCTCTGAATATATATTTTCGACCACCTGTGCATCGGCCGTTGTTTCTTCAACATCGACCGTTGTTACGACGTTACTGTATTCACAGGCGTCACCGTCGTCGTTATCAAAATCACTTCCCCAATAATCGTCGTACTCGTAACCGTCGGACGACGGTTCTCGGCAAGGTTGCGATTCATCGACGTCGCCGGACACTGCAGTATACGTATGAGGATTGATCACCGTTACGGGTGTTAAATAGTAATTGGGATTAAAATTTTCGTTACACACGGCGATCGAATTGATCGGTGGCGGCGGCTGCGGTGTTTCCGATTGTCGATATACAAACACGTCGCCTCGTGCGCACGCTCGGCGCGCCTGTTGCCACCGAGAAACCGGCGGACGTCTCCGGAATAGATTTATCAGTACGTCGTATTTGAAATATGCGATCACTGCCGCCATTACGATCGTAACCGAACCGATCATCAGTACAACGTATTTTACGCTATTTTTATAAAAATCGTCGGGGTCGTCAACGGCGGCGGTTTCGATGACGACGGCGTCGTAATCGTTGCTCTTGGTCGACACCATCGCGTCGGGGACAATGATATCCGTTGTTCTCTTCGAGACATTGTTACCGACTACGACGACGGCAGCGGCGGCGGCGTCGTCGTACGATAACGCCGGAATGACAAAATATTCCCGGACACAGTACACCGGATCGTCCGCCGGACCGGCGTCGGGAAGACACGAATCCGTGGCGCCGTTCGTGTATTGTACAAACGCGCAAGCTTCACGGTCTACGTGCCTCGTAAAACAATCGCACGTATAGGTGAACGTGTTGGGTCGACTCGACGGATTGGAAAGACACAATTTTATTTTTTTCGTTTTATCGGTCGGCAACCAGCCGAATTCTATAGAACTCGTTTGTTTCGATATCCCGGTGTTGGCGATGTTCAAAAGTCGTACGTTTTGCATAAATCTGTTTTCGAATAGGACGCCGTTGGATATCCGGAGTAACGGGTTGTTTGATATGTTTAACGTTTTCAAATTTACCAGGTACTTGAACGTGTTTATGTCGATGGTTTTAATGTTGTTGAACGACAAATCCAACGATTCGATGGCTGATTCCCTGGAAAAATAATCTTCGTCCACCGAAGCGAGCGGGCTGTGTGTCAGAGAAAACGACGCTATGCGATCGGCACTGCTCAACGAACCGACGCGCAATCGGATCTCGTTGAACGATTCGACGTACACGCGTAACCGATTCGATCCGAACAGCGTGTTGGGCGTTATCATGAAATCAGAAGTCTCGCAGTGCACGCTGTTTGTCGAATATTGGTACTTGCAATTGACCGAACACGGATAAATGATGCTCGACGTCGCGTCAACCGGCGTCGTCTCCGCCGCCGTACTGTCGTTGTTGCTGCTGTGATGAAAAAACGCGACGACGGTGAAAACTATAAAATTATAATACGGCGGCATAGTGATCGGCGGAGTCACCACACACACACACACACACACACACACACGACCGACGTGGGCGACTGTTTACTGGGTTTTTAATTTTTTAGCCACGCGCGCTCGTTTCGTGTACAACAATCGATCCAGTACGCTCTTCACGTCCGAATCACCGACGTCGTGTGTGTTCGGACTTTTATCGCCAGGTCTATTTATAGCGCCGTCTTCCGGTCTGTCGTACCGGGCGACGGTCTCGGCGTCCCGGAGACGTTGGCACAACAACGCCCGTAACCGATCGTTGGATAGCGGGTCGTTCGACAACATCAATTCGTGCACGAACCGCGAAACGCATTTCACTTTTACGCTATCGTCGTCGTCCGTGTTCAATCGGCGCATGGTCTTCCGATATTTTTCCACAAATTCCGTTTTCGAACATTGTACCGCCACGGTATCGGCGTACTGTCTTTTGGTACCGATTGCGCTATTCGTGTCGTTTATGCCGGCCACCGAATTTAGTGAATTTCCGCACATGTCTCCGGTCCTGTAGAATATCGGGTTTTTGTCCGACGCCGTCGAAAAAGCGCGGACGTTCGTCTCCAAAAATCCGCGTATCCACGCGGAACTGTCGGTCTGATCCAATAAAGATAACGCCAACAGTGTGTTTTTGATTTTCAATAGTTTCCACATGGTTTCTTCGGACGCGTGTTTCGAGCTGACGGCACTGTCGATCGGTCTTTTGGGCGCGATTACCGTGGTGCGGACCCGTTGTTCGTTGACCAATCGTCGGAGCGTATCGTAATGGGCGACGCGTTGTTTTCGATCGTCGCTCAGCACGACGCTCAGAGCGGCGTGCTGTATGTCCGTAGCGCCCAACGTTACGTCGTAATAAATGTAATTTTGGTTTTTTGTAAATTTTTCCGACAACTCGACGGCGGTCAATCGTCCGTTATCCGTTAGATCGAAATTCAACAGAGTCGACACGAAATACTGAATGTTTCTCGGTATCTGTACAGAGTTTATGTTTTTAAAAGACGTGACCCTCGACACGGCCACGTACAGGCATTCGTACGTGGCCCTCGTCAATATGAACGACACGTTGTCGTATATGGTCCGACCTTGCGACATGTAAATGGACATAAAAAAAGCCGGGTACAACGGAAAGTTCACCAAGTGCCCGTACGAGTTCAGTGCGGAATCGTTACCGTCGTTCAACAGAAACGACCGGTGTTTTTCGAACATCACGTCGTTACATTTTTCCAATTTAACGGTTTCGTCTTGGTCGCGGTCCAATCGACGTACCGTCACGCTGTTGAAAGTGTGACCGTCGGACGACATGTCGTAAGCGCGTACGCGACACAGCATCCGTTCACTGAATTCTTTCAAAAAATACAAATTGCCCAAAACTATTGGCAAATACACTAAATATTTACCGGGACAATCGTTCATCGATTCCAGATTAGTAGTGGACGCGACGGTCGATCCGTTACCGAGCGGCGGTGTCGTCGTCGTAATGGCGTTCATGTAGCGTTCCATGGGGTACGGTATGTACATATTACCGTCTTCCGTCAAACGTCGGCCCTGGACGAGCGCGCTGTCCGCGTCGCATTGTATCAACCACGGATTGGACGGTATTTTGAATTCTTTAACGAGTTTGTCCAGTAGATCCGACAAAAACCTGTGCTCCTTGGCCAATATCGTGTCGCGTATGTTTGGCGACACTACGATGTTTTTGTAGAATATGGCGCTCACCAGAGCGTAACCCCAAGCGTCCAGAGTGTCGGTAGACGCGTAACCGCCCACGAGGTTTACGATTTCGTTGTACTCGACGTCCTTGCACCGTTCGTTGTGCGTCAGATTGAAACTATTGTGTGCAAACGACGAGACGATGTCGTACGCCGAACATTTGCCGGAATGCGACGAATTGTGGATGTTTTGCAATTGATTGCGATCGCCGCACACCACCGCTCCGATGTTGTGCAGACGCAACACCAGCATTAGGACAAACAACAGAGGTTTCGACATCACCGTGTATTCGTCCAGTATCAATAGACGCGTGACGAATTCGCTGTTTATGTTTACGCGGACACGTCTGACGAAATTCACGACCACGTTCATAAAGTGTTCGACGCTCATGGCGGCGTTCAGCTGTCGGTCCAATGCCACGTACTCGGAAAACCTGATGTCCAAAAGGCGCATTACGAATTGCGCGACCGTATATCCGTACGTACACAATCAGTACATGTCCACCAAATCATGTTTGTATATGACCAGATTCGGGATTTTTTTTTCCGATACCAAATGATGGGCTATCGTTAGCATCGTGTACGTTTTACCGGTACCCGGTCCGGCTTGTAAAACGGTAATGTTTCGTCGGTTGTCTATCACGTGATCGAACACGGCCCGCTGCTCCGAATTCAGATTCTCTCGTTTGTATTTGGACCGTTGCGCTTTTAAATTGTCCAATTCGTCGTGCGGTCGTATTCGCAATTTTTTTTGACGATTGGTTATAACGTCGTTGTACGGCAAACAGTACCGTTCGCCGGTTCCGAAATCCGTTATCGTTTTTACGTCCATTTCGTGTTTATCATCGTTGTCGTCGGCGGCGGCCGCCGTTAACGATGTCCAAAGATCTTTTTTTCTTTTCGTTTTGATCGCATGGTCTTGTTCGATTTTTTCAAAAAACAATTGTAAATCGACATCGTCTAAATCCCGAATCGATCCGAACGCGTCGTTGAAAGACACGGCCTCTTCGAACTCTTCGTACATCGTTCACCAACCGACGTAGTCCGATACCCGTACAACGCTCGTACCACCGTGTACGCTCAACCGGGTCAACGTCAAACACGCCAATAAAACGAATATAAAAAAACACGCCAATATATACAATTTAAAACACGTCAGTAACGCGGCCACCGAAGCGACGGTTATTGACGCCGTGCTCAACGTGCGGTTGACGCGGACCCGTTTCGAAAAGTCTCGGTTGTATTCGTCGTACGCCGCGGCGTCAAACCTCACGCTTTCGACCACAGCCCGGTTTGCAGCGTCGCCGTACGCGCCGTCGAAATCGCGTTTCGATATCGTCACGATATCGCGTCTGTCGATGAACCCCCCCGTCACTGTTCACGTCGAGGTTGTCCAGATAAATCGCTTTTTCCATCATGCTGATCAGTTGCAATTGTAAGATTTCGTCGTCCGTCACTATGGCGTTGACTAGATTTTCGAACGTGTATTCGGCCGTCGACATGCCGAATTGATTGCGCAGCGCCGCTTCGCCGCTCGACATGAGATCGTTCGGCAATTCTTTGGGAAACATATTATTGTACCCGTAGGGATCCCATATGGAAAATATAATGTCCAACACGTTCACGACGATCAACAACCAACCGACTACACTGGTCGCGGCCGCCGTGATCTTAGCCAACATGATTGCGGATTTGCCCAACGTACGCAGAGCCGTGTGCACGATCGCGCTACGAACCGTACTCTGCATGGTGGCCGTCAACACACTTTTGGAAAACGCCGATTCCACGAGTTTATAGAAATCTAACGTCAACAGTTTCTGTACGGTTTCGAATACTCTATACGAAAATCGTTGCACTTCTTTTAGCGAACGGTCAAACACCCAAGACACGCCCAAACTGGTCCAAAATTCCGAAGACTGTAACAGTTTCATAACGCTTTCCATTATTTTTTGTATTTTTTCACGGGTTTCCGCAGAAACCGGTTTATTGTCAGTCGTCGTCGATCGCTTTTTGCGCGTTTTCAATTGTTCGCGTTGCGACGCGTTGACGTCGACGATTTCTAACAGCGGCGGTATCGTAAAATCGGATTTCACGTCTGCGCGCCAACCGGTCACCGTGTGTTCGGGTTTTAACGTTTCGGGTTTATCGGGCAACCCGGCCGGCAGCCGTTTCTGGATTTCGGTGTTGTTTACTTGGCGTATCGCCGATTTTACGGTGTTTACAAAAGACATGCCGACCACCGCGTCCAAACCGGTTTCCCACCATTTGTACGAACAGTCTCCGTTCTTGTCCAGAGTTCGATCGTAGTACGCGCAATACGCTGCGTTGTTCCGGTAATCAAACCCGCATCCGTAATCGCGATCGTTCCGCGTTCGCGAAAACCCGGTTGGCATATCGTTTACGCGCGCTTCGTATTGCACCGAACTCCGGTAAAACGGTTTTTCCAGATACGCCGTAACAGCGTCCGGTACTATGCGACACGAGTTTTTGTGATAATTCAATTGCGGCGTGTCTACGCCGCGTGTACCGTCGGACCGATACGTTTTGTTGGCCCGCACATTAAAGCACGCGGGTTGACATTGTACGTCGTACGCGTCGTCGCCCACCCAATAGTACGATGCTTCCGTGTCGGGCGCGCACGGAGCGCGTTCCGTCGTCCGGTTGCACGACAGTTTCGTGCACAATCGTTCGCTCAGCGCTATGTCCAACACTCGGCATTTGTCTTTCAGGGCGGGTGGGATATAATAATCCGCATCGGTCGCCAAACGGTCGTACAATCGTAAATGACTGATCAAGTGCGGTCGTTTTTTATGCATCAGTTGTAACAACCGTATGAGATAGTTGTATTTTGCAAATTTTTCAGCATGATGCAAATCGGTTTGTGTAAACGAAACCGACATTACGAACAATAATCCGGTCGTCGGATTACCAGAACCGCTTCTATATATGTATATAATATGTATGTATTATAATTTTCAGTAGACGCCGTTGTCCAATAGTGTCTTTGACCACACACACACACATACATTATAACGTGTGTTCAGACATTTTTTATATATATACGCAGACGTGCATCATATCAAGTTCAATTCGTGTTCGCGTCGCGTTTACTAACCACGGACGACGGTTCTGTTAACCTATTACATATAGCGTAAACGATCAGAGTCGTGTTACGACGATTTTACAAATCGTTCGAGCGTTACGCCCAGTCGCGTTACATGTGTGCGTATGCACAGCATTATGATCGCCGCCGTGTCAAAAGTTAACCAGATTTTGACGGATGTGTTGCGAGACGCCAAGAGCATGGTGCTCTGCGTCGACGGTACGTCTTGTTGTAAAAAGACGTCTATACTGACGGCCACCGGAGTGCCGGACGTGTTAAAGGTTCAAAAAAACCGTAGGTTCGTCAACGTTAATTCGTTCGCACCGTCGACACTGGGTTACGTCAGCGCGGGCGTTTTAGACGTGATGTCGGCATCGGAACCCAAGTTTATGGATCGGTCTCCGTTGAACGTGTTGGAATGGTATTTTTTGTGGAAACTTATGGACAAATTCTACACCACGTTCGGTAACGTGACGCCCGATATTGTCGGTGACGAGTCGCACGCCGATTTTTTTAACGATTTCGACCGATTGTTTGTCGACCTCAAGGAATACTATCGACCGTACGCCCGGTGGTTAGACGTGGTGTGCATAGTGGATAGTAATTTGGAACGGTGCGATACCGATCGAATGCGCAGGGGCGAGGGCAGCGATTCCGAGAGATCCAATTGGAAGTTTTACACGTTTATGCAAAATCGTATGTACTCTATACTGCACAAATGCATAGATTTAGCTTGGTTTGACGCGGAAAGCGCACGATGCGACGAATACGTGATCGTATTGGCCACGTGTTTGAAAAACACGTTAATGAGGTTTCCAAAAACGCGGACCGGGCACAACGGTCGCGTAAATTTTTCGTTGCCCGTACCCACGGATGGCGTGGATTTTACATTGCGAAATTATTCCACGTTCGTGTATCGGGAAACTATCAGACAACGCGCTCGAAGCGTCGTACGACAGACCAATGACGCGGTAGATTTTTCAAATCTACCTCGGATAGCAAACGTGTACGGTTTACCGGACGAACAGGTTTTAGAATTGGAACCGTTTGTTGTCGTCGGTGACGGCGACGACCGTTCAACAACGAAAATCGACGAACGTCCGTCGCAAGATGCAGACATTACGGAAGACAATTATATGTTATTTTAAAAAAATTATGTTTTCGTAATATACTCATATTTATATAGATTATGTATTGTGTTGTTTTATTTATTTATTTGTACACGCGACACGCGTATCGTTTTCCATTATGGCGTGTGTCGACAAGATTACGGGAAACGATCGGGAATTCGATTGTTTTCTGCCCTTGTACAATAAAGACGACGCTGACGGTAGGTTGAACGAGGACCGGTACGGTATTCGGTTTAATCTGAACCCCAACGTCGAAGTGACGGCGGGATTCATGAACGTGGACCGGTTGCAATACGATTTGGAAAAAACCGTAGCCGTGATGGACGGTCATATCGATAGTTTTAAAAAACAATTGCAATCGGTACACGAAGACTTTTATAATAAATTTGACGTGAACAACGTGACCAATCAGCAGATCGCTCGTCTGAGCAAAGCCGTCAACATTACGAATCAGGCGTTTTCGGCTTTGGACCTGTGGTCGGTCACCTTTAACGATTCCGTGCACGCGCTTTACTTGGAAATAGAAAAATATCAAAATTCCAAAACTAAAATCACGGCGATCCGAAACAAGATCAAACACCAAGATCGTTCGGCGCGCGTAGATCCCGTGGTCCGGTTTAAAAAAGACGAATCGTTTAGGCACACTCTGCAAAGCGAACGCAACCGATTGGTGAACATTGAAAACTCTATTAGGTCCAAATTGTACAGTCTAAACAGTTTTTACGGGTCGTTCGAACGCGGTCTGATACCGGCCGACCGTCGATCCGATAAAATGATAAACCTCAAAAACATATTAAAGATCGCGGACACGGTGTACGGTACGTCGACGAAACTCAGAGACCTACAACTGAAAATAATAAACAGTATCAACAGCAAACCGTCGTCCATCGTGTACCGCAGCGAACGGGTACCAGACGTATACGACCGGGTGTCTCGACCCGTAAGCTACATCGCGCCGCCGTCGTCGCCGTCACCACCAAACGCTGCCGGACCACAGCCGCCTCCGCCGAAAAAAACTAAATTCATTTTTAGACCCGCCGAGGCGCCGTCTCGGAAAGACGTCACCGATGTCTGGTCGAATCAAATGCGCGACGTAGAAATGATGTTATCGAACGGGGAACCCGACGCTTCTGTCGCGGCAGCGACGACCGTGAACGGGATACGTGCGACTAAACGTCGATTGGAACCGATGATCCGAGATCACGAGCGTCTCCGGTTCGAGCGGGACGACGCGACCGCCGGTTTGGCCGAAGCCCGATTCGAAAAACAATTGCGCGACAGCGCCGAGATTTTTGCCGAGGATCAGCGGTTCGCGCAAAACGAATACGAACGTAAAATCCGGGAACTGACCGAACGACTGGAAAAATCTATAAACGGTGCTGCGGCGTTGCGTGAAAACAACAGACTTTTGGAAGACAAATTGACCGAAAGCGTAAACGCTTCCGAACGGAACATGCGGGAACTGCGTCAAAAATTCGACGATCGTGAACGTCGGATCGGAGAATTGAAATATAATTTACGAAACACGGCTCGCGATTTGAAATCGCTGGAAACCGAACGGGAACTCGGTGACGCCGCGATGGACTCTGAACTCATGCGCAAGACTAAAACGATAACGGAGTTACGCGAACAATGGACGAGTCTGAAAACCGAATTGGACGGGTGCCGAGACGAAATCGACGTTCTGAACAAACGGATGGACGACGAACGGCAAAAAAACAAAGAACTGGCGTTACGATTGAAAGAGGCGCGCGTCGAGAAATCGGAAATAGAACAGCGGGCCACCGACGAACTGCAACGGTTCCGCGAGCAGGAGCGCGTGTTGAAGCGACAACTGCAAGAGACCAAAACGCGCGCGGACGTTTTCGAGAGCGAAGCGCGACAGGCGTTAGAAACGCAGCACCTAAAGGAAATCGAAGACCTGGAAACGGAATACAAAAACCGATTGCGAGACTACGAATCACGGGAATCGCGACTGAAAGCCGAAATGTCGAAAATCGCGCGCGCCACCGAAGAGGAGATGATAAAAAACACGGAAGACGTAGAAAACCGAATGCGTTTAAAAATAAACGACCTAATTGCGCAGAAAACCGAATTGGAGCGTCGGTATTCGGAGACGGTGCGGGCCGCAAACTACGACCAAAGCGTCGCCTTCGAACGTTTGGTCGAAAACGAACGATTGCGGGCTGTAATCGAAAACCATAAACGAGATATAGAAGAATTGAACTCGACCGCGGTAGAGTTGAAAAACACCGTCGCGTATCTGAGCCGCGACGGAGGTATAACATATCATATGTTACATAAATAAATATATTAATGGTTTATGTGCAGTTTTTACACCAATATCACGTTTATGTTTTCATCGAGTACGCCGCCGTGGCCATTGCTTTGAGGTAATGCCCAGCAACATCGGTAACACACATCACCACAGCGGTGACTGTATGTGCCCACGTGTTGATTTCAACGATTGTACTGAGCCGAATACGATCGTGAAATTTTAACGACTCGCGTGTCAGTCGTCGGCGTGTCGTGTCACGACACACGATACGGATCGAGGCGTACACAAATACCGATGTCGCACGCACTTAACGTCCCAACGTGTTCCGCGCGACTATGGCGTTTCCATTACGTTTAGGTTTTCACGATGCCGGTCCGTCGGCAAAAACAACGTCGCGCCCGACGCGGCAAACACCATGCCAACAAACGGCGCGTCGTCATGACGGACATGTACACATACACACTATTTTTAAAAAATAAAGTCACACATGGCCCGTATTAAATCGTCGGCGTGCTCGACGTACCGACGACGCAACTCATCAAATCTGTTTACGTTGTACGTGTCTTCTGCCGGTATATTATTGATCGTGTTGATCAACCGCATCAGTTGCCGCGATCGCCGAGCGTCGATCGTAACGCGCGTACACTATCGGAGTGTTTTCTACGGTCCGTTTGACGTACCGGTTGACCGAACTCGCGGCCAACACGGTCCAACACGCCCGTTCGTAGCACGCGTGCACGAACCGAGCAGTCGGTCCGTAATACAACCAATATTCGCTTATGACGTACAGAGCTTGTCTCGAAGCACACCGTCTCCCATGCTGCGAATAAATCTGCGGGAACAGATTTATGAGCGTAGTCGGACGACGAGTTGTTGGTTTGAAATCGTCAAATTCTATACGACCGATCGAATCGCGGTGTCGGTAAAATCTGTCGTCGGCCCGATCAAACGTCTGCACGTGCATCCACAATTTGTTGACCAACGTCTGGAATCGATCGACGTCCAACGGTTTCCCGTTCCGTGTACAAATGTACTATACCCGTTGTCGGCGTCGCTGGCGGTTCGGACCACTGCGTCGCAACTCGCGCAACGTCCGTTCGACGTCCGTCCGAACGGACGCAAGCGGCGGTGGCGGCATGGAATCCTCCGTTGAGACGTGATCGCGCGCGTCGATAAACCTCC